GGCAATATAGAATTGCTGCAGGCAGAGGAGGAGAGAGAAGCAAGACTAAAAAGAAATGAAGAAACTCTCCGAGAATTATCAGACACAATTAGGAGATGCAACGTAAGGATTATAGGTATACCAGAGGGAGAAGAGAAGGAGAAAGGGGCAGAAAGCCTATTCAAAGAAATAATGGCTGAGAACTTCCCAAATCTGGTGAGGGAGATGGATCTTCAGGTGACAGAAGCCAATAGATCTCCAAACTTTATCAATGCAAGAAGACCAACTCCACGGCATATAGTAGTGAAGCTAGCAAAAGTCAACGACAAGGAGAAAATACTAAGGACAGCCAGGCAAAAGAAACTAACCTACAAAGGAACCCCCATCAGGCTATCAGCAGATTTCTCAGCAGAAACTTCACAGGCTAGAAGAGAGTGGAATGATATATTCAAAAATCTACAGCCGAGAATTCTCTACCCAGCGAAAATATCCTTCAAATACGATGGAGAAATAAAAACTTTCCCAGGTAAACAAAAATTAAGGGAGTTCATTGCCACAAAACCTCCTCGTCAGGAAATCCTCAGGAAAACCCTCATTCCTGAAAAATCCAAAAAAGGAAAGGGGCTACAAAACCAAGAGCAGAGGAGATAAGTAGAAGGACAACAACAGAGAGTAGCAGCTCTACATCAGAACAGATTAAACCATGGGACGAGAAACAAAGGAAACTGAAGAAAACCGGAAAACAAGACACAAAATGGTAGTGGTAGGCCCCCACATCTCAATAATCACTCTAAATGTAAATGGATTGAACTCCCCAATCAAAAGACACAGAGTGGCAGGATGGATCAAAGAACAAGATCCAACAATATGCTGCCTCCAGGAAACACACCTCAGCCCCAAAGACAAACACAGACTCAGAGAGAAGGGATGGAGAACAATACTCCAAGCTAATAATGAACAAAAGAAAGCAGGTGTCGCTATACTAATATCAGACAAGGTAGATTTCAAAGCAAAACAGATAAAGAAAGATAAAGAGGGACAGTATATAATGATAAAAGGGACTCTCCACCAAGAAGACATAACACTTATAAATATATACACACCCAACACAGGAGCACCAAAATTTGTAAAGCAACTCTTAATAGAACTAAAAGAAGACATCAACAACAATACAATAATAGTAGGGGACCTCAACACACCATTAACACCAATGGACAGAACATCCAGACAGAAAATCAACAAGGAAATAATAGAATTAAATGAAAAATTAGACCAGATGGACTTAATAGATATATATAGAACACTTCATCCAAAAACAGCAGGTTACACATTCTTCTCAAGTGCACATGGAACATTCTCAAGGATTGACCATATTTTGGGAACCAAAGCAAACATCAATAAATACAAGAGAGTTGAAATAATATCAAGCATCTTTTCTGATCATAATGCTATTAAACTAGAAATCAACTACAAGAAAAAAGCAGAGAAAGGTGCAAAAATGTGGAGACTAAACAACACGCTTCTCAACAAACAATGGATCATTGAAGAAATTAAAGAAGAAATCAAATTTTATCTGGAGACTAATGAAAATGAGAACACGACAAACCAAATCATTTGGGATGCAGCAAAAGCAGTCCTAAGAGGGAAATTCATCGCAATACAGGCTCACCTCACTAAACAAGAAAAAGCTCACATAAGCAACCTCAAACGACACCTAACAGAACTAGAAAAAGAAGAACAAACAAAGCCCAGAGTCAGTAGAAGGAGGCAAATAATAAAAATAAGAGCAGAAATAAACGATATTGAAACAAAAAAGACAATAGAAAGGATCAATGAAACAAAGAGTTGGTTCTTCGAAAGAATTAACAAAATTGACAAACCCCTAGCCAGACTCACCAAGAAAAGAAGAGAGAAATCGCAAATTAATAAAATCAGGAATGACAGAGGAGAAATCACAACAGATACCAATGAAATACAAGAGATCATAAGAGAATACTATGAAAATCTATATGCCAACAAATTGAACAACCTGGAAGAAATGGACAAATTCCTAGACTCCTACAATCTCCCCAAACTGAATCAGGAAGAAATGGAGAATCTGAATAGGCCAATCACAAGTAAGGAAATAGAAACGGTAATCAAAAACCACTCCAAAAATAAGAGTCCAGGACCAGACGGCTTCTCTGGAGAATTCTACCAAACATTCAAAGAAGACTTAATACCTATTCTCCTCAAACTGTTCCAGAAAATTGAGAAAGATGGAGAACTCCTTAACACATTCTATGAAGCCAACATCACTCTGATCCCCAAACCTGACAAGGACAACACAAAGAAGGAGAACTACAGGTCGATATCACTGATGAACATAGATGCAAAAATCCTCAACAAAATTTTGGCAAACCGATTACAGCAATACATCAAAAAGATTATACACCATGATCAAGTGGGATTTATACCAGGGACACAGGGATGGTTCAACATCCACAAGTCAATCAACGTGATACACTACATCAACAAAATGAAAAACAAAAACCACATGATCATCTCAATAGATGCAGAGAAAGCATTTGACAAGATCCAACACCCATTTATGATAAAAACCCTCAGTAAAATGGGTATAGAAGGAAAGTACCTCAACATAATAAAGGCCATATATGATAGACCCACAACCAACACCATACTCAATGGACAAAAACTGAAAGCCATCCCTCTGAGGACAGGAACAAGACAAGGGTGCCCACTTTCACCACTCTTATTCAACATAGTACTGGAGGTGCTGGCCAGAGCAATTCGGCAGGAAAAAGAAATAAAAGGAATCCAAATAGGTAACGAAGAAGTAAAACTCTCGTTGTTTGCAGACGACATGATCTTATATATAGAAAACCCCAAAGAATCCACAGAAAAACTATTAGAAATAATCAACAACTACAGCAAAGTAGCAGGGTATAAAATTAACGTGCATAAATCAGTAGCATTTCTATACACTAACAATGAACTAACAGAAAAAGAACTCAAGAACTCAATCCCATTCACAATCGCAACGAAAAGAATAAAATACCTTGAGATAAACTTAACCAAGGAAGTGAAGGATCTATACAATGAAAACTACAAGGCTTTCTTGAAAGAAATTGACGATGACATAAAGAGATGGAAAGACATTCCTTGCACATGGATTGGAAGAATAAACATAGTTAAAATGTCCATACTACCTAAAGCAATCTACAGATTCAATGCTATCCCAATCAGAATCCCAAGAACATTCTTCACAGAAATTGAACAAACAATCCTAAAATTCATATGGGGCAACAAAAGACCGCAAATTGCTAAAGCAATCCTGAGCAAGAAAAACAAAGGCGGCGGAATCACAATCCTCGATTTCAAAACATACTACAAAGCTACAGTGATCAAAACAGCATGGTACTGGTACAAAAACAGGTCCACAGATCAATGGAACAGAATTGAAAGCCCAGAGATAAAACCACACATCTATGGACAGCTAATCTTCGACAAAGGAGCAGAGGGCCTACAATGGAGAAAAGAAAGTCTCTTCAACAAATGGTGCTGGGAAAACTGGACAGCCACATGCAAAAGATTGAAAATTGACCAGTCTTTTTCACCACACACCAAAATAAACTCAAAATGGATCAAAGACCTAAAGATTAGGCCTGAGACAATAAGTCTTTTGGAAGAGAATATAGGCAGTACACTCTTTGACATCAGTTTCAAAAGAATCTTTTCGGACACTGTAACTCCTCAGTTGAGGGAAACAATAGAAAGAATAAACAAATGGGACTTCATCAGACTAAAGAGCTTCTTCAAGGCAAGGGAAAACAGGATTGAAACAAAAAACAGCTCACTAATTGGGAAAAAATATTTACAAGCCACTTATCCGACAAAGGGTTAATCTCCATAATATACAAAGAACTCACACTGCTTAACAACAAAAAAACAAACAACCCGATCCAAAAATGGGCAGAGGACATGAACAGACATTTCTCAAAAGAAGATATGAATATGGCCAATAGACACATGAAAAGATGTTCATCATCGCTAATCATCAGGGAAATGCAAATCAAAGCTACACTAAGATATCACCTTACACCCGTTAGATTAGCAAAAACATCCAAAACCAAGAGTGACAAATGTTGGAGAGGTTGTGGAGAAAAAGGAACCCTCATACACTGTTGGTGGGAATGCAAACTGGTACAGCCACTATGGAAAACAGTATGGAGATTTCTCAAAAAGTTAAAAATAGAAATACCCTATGACCCAGCCATCCCATTACTGGGTATCTATCCTAAGAACCTGATATCAGAAATCTCAAGAGTCCATTGCACCCCTATGTTCATCGCAGCATTATTTACAATAGCCAAGACGTGGAACCAGCCTACATGCCCAGAAACTGATGATTGGATAAAGAAGATGTGGTATATATACACAATGGAATACTACTCAGCCATAAAAAAAGACAAAATTGGCCCATTCACAACAACGTGGATGGACCTCGAGGGTATCATGTTAAGCGAAATAAGCCAGTCACAGAAAGACGAACTCTATATGACTCCACTCATAGGTGGAAATTAGTATTTTGATAAGGAGATCTGATCGGTGGTTACCAGGGAAAAGGGGGGGTGGGGGGAGGGCACAGAGCGGGAAGTGGTGTACCCACAACATGACTAACAAAAATGTACAACTGAAATCTCACAAGGTTGTAATCTATCATAACATTAATAAAAAAAAAAAAGTGTGACCCCCATTTTCATCAGATAAGACATTTTTTAAATGCTGGAAAAATATACCTCAAAATTTAAAGTGTGCTGGACAACCGGTAATCTTTGTTTCCTTCTTTTTATTTATCTACCTTTTCTAAATGTTCAAGGAACATGTGTTATTTTTGTAATAAGAAACAATAAAAGGAAATTTTAAGGAATAAATGTAACAATGATACTAACCTAACTCTGACGAAAGTTTTGGAAATATCTATGCAAAGAAATAGATACATAAAAGAGGGTAATTCCAACCTGTTAAGTGATGTCCACAGCTTTAGTAAATTGCAGACTTGCCTTTTTCTCCAATACTTGGTCCCAGGGATCAGTCTGGACAGGAAATGGCAGAGTTGACCAGGGCTCGAACTCAGGTTCCATCGATCTAATCCGGAACCAAGAAAATCTTTCAGAATGCAACAAAGATCATTTTAGAAGCCAGATTACACTGGATCGTTTACCCAATATGCCTGTGTACTTCTTTCGAGATCTGACAACATCTTTAAACAAAACAAGAAGTATGCCATTTTGGTGACTCAAAAAAGAACAAAGACATAAAGAGCCTTCAGTCAACTTCTCTTCGCTCAGCTTCCCTGACCATACCTGGCTCACTCCCAGTAGAGGGGAAGGAAGGAAGAAGCCACAACGCTTCACCCACTTCCTCCTTTCCAGGGAAAGAGCAGGTAGGGATGTGGGAAGGGGTGGGCACCCAAGGGAAGCAAGGTTTCTACACGACAGCCCAGAGTGGGCTGTGGCCTCCAGAACCTTCCATCCCGTGGTTGGCAAATAGTGGTGTCAGTGCTCCTTCGTGACCTCACAGACCTTACCTCCCCCCACACCAGCCATTCTGAACCCACTTGAAGTTTTCATTTATTTTTTGCTTTGAACAAACACTCTGCGCTAAGTGAACACATTCACATGGAGTATTGGGTTTAACCATCACAAAAAGCCTGTGAACTTTCAGCTACAAGATGAACAAGGTCTGAGGATCCAACGGAAAACAGGGTGACTGTAGTTGGTAAGATTGTATTGTATGAATGAAATTTGCTAAGAGAATAGAACTTAAATGTTCTCACCCAAAAAAAAAGATAAATATGTGAGGTGATGGAGTGATGGATGAGTTAATTAACTAACTGGGAAGAATCCTTTCACAATATGTATGTATATCAGATCATCACAATGTACGCTTTAAATATCTTACAATTTCATTTGTCAATTATAGGTCAATAAAGCCGAAATGAAAAAATAAATTTTTAAAAAAAAAAGAATGGGTAAAATAATGGATTGAAGACTTGAGAGTAAGGCCTGAAACCATAAAACTCCTAGAAGAAAACATCGGTAGTAAGCTCTTTGACATCAGTCTTGGCAATGATTTTTTGGATTTGACATCAAAAGCAAAAATAAACAAGTCGGACTACATCAAACTAAAAAGCTTCCGCGTGACAAAGGAAACCATTAACAAAATGAAAATGCAATCTACAGAATGGGAGAAAATACCTGCAAATCATATATCTGATAAGGGGTTAATATCCAAAATACATAAAGAACTCATACAACTCAATAGTAAAAAAAATCCAATTAAACAATGGGCAGAGATCAGAGCAGACATTTTCCCAAAGACGACATACAGATGGCCAACAGGTACATGGAAAGGTGTTCACCATCCCCAATCATCAGGGAAATGCAAATCAAAACCACACCGAGATATCACGTCACACCTGTTAGCATGACTATTATCAAAAAGACAAGAAACAACAAGTGTTGGAGAGGATGGGGAGAAAAGGGAACACGTGTGCACTGTTGGTGAGACTGCAAACTGGGGCAGCCACTGTGGAAAACAGTACAGAGATTCCTCGAAAAACTAAAAATAGAACTACCACAACATCCAGCAATTCCACTTCTGGGTGTTCATCCAAAGAAAATGAAAACAGTAACTCAAAAAGGTATCTGCACCTCTATATTCACTGCAGCATTGTGTATAACATCTAAGACATGGAAGCGACTTAAGTGTCCAACGATGGATGAATGGATAAAGAAAATGTGGTATAGCTACACAATGGGATATTATTTGGCCATAAAAAAGAAGGAAATCTTGCTGTTTGCAATAACATGGATGGACCTCAAGGGCGTTATGCTAAGTGAAATAAGTCAGAAAGAGAAAGACAAACACTGTATGATCTCACTTGTATGTGGAATCTAAAAAAAGCAAACAAGCTCATAGACACAGAGAACAGATTGGTGGTTGCCAGAGGGCGGGGGTGGTGAGTGAAATGGGTGCAGGGGGTCAAAACGTAAAAACTTCCAGTTATAAAATAAGTTATGGGGATGTAATGTACAGCACGATGACTACAGTAATAATACTGTATTGCATATTTGAAAGTTGCTAAGACAGTAGATCTTAAAAGTTCTCGTTACAAGAAAAAAATCTGGAAACTATGGTGATCAATGTTAAATAGACTTATTGTGTTGATCATTTTGCAATATACACAAATATGGAATCATTATGTTTTACACTTGAAATTAATGTAACATTATATGTCAATTATATCTCAATTTTAAAAAATGGGTAAAAGATTTGAACAGATACTTTGCAAATGAAGATGTATGAATGGCCAGCAAACACATAAGTCATCAGAGAAATCCAAATTAAAGCCACAAGGAGATAATTTTAACCATTGTGGTGGGTGGATAATGTTAAGACTGAGAACACCAGAGTTGATGAGTTTGAGCAGTAAGCAGAACTCTCATGTATTTGTGGTGGAAGCATAAGATAACACAACTACTTTTGAAATCTACTTGCCAGTTTCTTACTACAAGCAATTCCACATCTAAGTATATATACAATAGAAATTAGTACAAAAGTCACTAAAAGACTAGGGTCACTATTTGTAAAAGTCAAAAACTAGAAATAACTCAAATGACTATTAACAATAAAATGGCTAAATAGTGCATATTCCTATCAGGAAATATTCTACAGTAATGAAAATGAACAAGCAGTCGTGGATGAATCTCACATAGTGCTGAGCTAAAGCAGCCAGACACAAAAGAATGCTCATTATTCCATTTATGTACAAGTTCAAACTCATGAAAAGCTGATCTATCACGACATGAGATGAGAGTGCTTCCCCCGGATGGCAAATACTGAGGGGCTACGAGGGGACTTCTGGGGTTCTGGGAGTGCTCTACACTCTTTCTTTATCTAGGGGAGGTTATGTGTTCTTATTATCAACAATTCACCAAGCAATATACTTATGACTTTTTTGCACTTTTCTGTATGCATGTTATATTTTAATAAAAGCTTTCCTTTCCTAGAAAGAAAAGATGTATCTCCTACAAAGGACCAGAAATTAGATGACTAACTTCTTCACCCTGACAATGAGAGCTAGAGACAGGCCAATGGTATCTCAAACACGCCAAGAAAAGACAAATCTCAGCCTGGAATTTTATAAAGTATTTTTTAAGAATGGAGACAAAATATAGACATTTTCAGACAAAAAAAATCATAATTTACCACCAACAGACCCTCATTAAGGTAAATTTTAGAAGGTGAATTTCAGCAAAAGTAAGATTATCCAAGATGGAAGGGCTGAGATGCAAAAGGGAATGATGAGCAAATATAGTGATAAATATTTGAGCAAACCCAAATAAATATCGATTGTAAAAAACAGGTTCAAAAATGTTTGATTTGTAAGAGAAAAATGGAATGGAACCAAAATAAAATCCAGTATATTGTTCAAACTCTTGTTCTAAGTTAGACCAAAAGATGACAAGGGGGAATAAAAGGAATACAAGCAATGAGATGAACCTAAAATTGCTGAAATAAATCTGTAACAAATGAAATGGACAAATGCACCAGTTAACAGAGTATCAGGATACACAAAAAATCAGACTGGGGGCCAGCCCAGTGGCACAGCGGTGAAGTTGGCAAATTTGGCAGCACAGGGTTGGCCAGTTAGGATCCCGGGGGCGGACCTACACACCACTTGTCAAGCCATGTTGTGGCAGGCATCCTACGTATAAAGTAGAGGAGGACGGACACAGATGTTAGCTCAGGGCCGATCTTCCTCAACAAAAAGAGGAGGAATGGAGGCAGATGTTAGCTCAGGGCTAATCTTCAGCCAAAAAAAAAAAAATCAGAATATGAACGTTAAACAAAGAATCTGGCTATAATCTGTTAACAAAAGCCACACTTAAACATAAGCTAAGATTGAAAGCCAGGGGATGGAAAACAATAGCATTTATAGGAGAAATTATATGATGTCTTGCATTTGCTTTAAAATATCCCCCAAAAGAAATAAATTGGGGAGAAAGAGTAGATGAAACAAGAATGCCAAATTGATTAATTGTGAAAGGTAGGTGAACACATGGGAATTCATTATACTCTTCCAATTCTGCATATGATAAAATTGCTTTTGTAATAATCAATGAGTTCAAAAAGACGAAGAGAAAGATACCCCAGGAGAATACTAACCCAAAGTAACTTGGTACAGCTATATGAATGTCAGATAAAAGGTAAAAGCATTGCTACAGGGACATTACATATAATAAGAGTATCAATTCACCTGAAAGATGTAAAAGTTCTACTTTTTATGCACCTAGTAACATAACCTCAAAAGTATATGGCAAAAAATTGAAAGAACTACAAGGAGAAAAAAAATACATCAATCACTATATTGGGAAATTTTAACACATCTCATTCAGTAAGTGTTGGATCACACACACACACACACACACACATACACAAATCACTAAGGAGTTAGAAGATTTGAACACTGTAATAAACAAACTTGGCCTAATAGTCCAAAAACTGGAGAAAACAGATTTTTCAAGAATATGACCTTTACACTCAAAATTAGAAATGAAAGGGGAGACATTACAACTGATATTATAGAAATACACACAATCCTAAGAGACTACTATGAATAATTATATGCCAACAAATTACATAACCTGGAAGAAATGGATACATTTCTAGAAACACACAACCTAACCAAGACAATCAGGAAGAAATAGAAAATCTGAACAGACCAGTAACAAGTAAAGAGATTGAATGAGTAATCAAAAAACTCTCCAAACAGAAATTTCCAGGACCAGATGGCTTCACTGGAGAATTCCACTAAACATTTAAAGAATTAACACCAATCCTCCTCAAACTCTTCCAAAATACCAAAGAGGAGGGAACACTTCCAAACTTATTCTATGAGGCCAGCATTACTTTGATACCAAACCAGACAGGGATATCACAAGGAAAGAAAACTACAGGTCAATATCCCTGAATATAGATGCAAAAATTCTCAACAAAATATTAGCAAACCAAATTCAAGAACACTTTAAAAGAATTACGCACCATGACCAAGTCAGATTTATACCTGGGATGCAACAATG